CCTAAGTAAGTTCTGCAAAAATTTATCCAGTTTTTCTTGGTTTAAAGCGCTCTGTCGCAGTTCGGATGGTAATTACTGTTAAGTGAGAACATGCCAGTGCCTTTTCACTGGTATTTAACAGGTTTTCGTCGCACATAATTTTGGTTTCAACCTTGTTGTGGTCGAACTTTGCTGGCTAGCTTGCGAGTTGACGGTGACTTGCCGTGCAGGAGCAACTTTTGGCGGCTGGTCATTTCACAGTCAGAGTGCTGGCGTATTACGCCCAACGCGTTACGTTTTTCTGTCATATGATTGCTGGTAGGGCAGCATGTGTAGGCCGGTCGTGTAAGCCGCTGTCATGCACCTAGGACTGATTGATCGCACTGACAGGAATGCAGAGTGACGAGAGTTGCTGTACTCCTGAATGTGGTTTGGATCATAATGGAAATTTGACTTGTTCTACAGCTGGAATATTTATCTATATATATTTAACACTTGCCTAATAAAAAGTTGGCAGTGTGCCACAACACATGATTAACAATAACAAAACGAGGAAGAGAGAGCCAGATGAATGGATAGAAAGTTCTATGTGCTGTGTGGGCGTTAAGCTTCCCGGTTGCCCAGGCCGATGAAAAGGGTTGACTTAAGGGGCTTCACCCCGAGCTTTGGTCTTAAAGACCTGACCCGTAAGGCAGCGGAACAATTCACGAAGACCGTAGACAGCCAGATGACTCATTCGCCTTCTTTGTGTTCGGAAGCAGTCCACAGAGAAGCTGGAGGCCAGCAAGGTTACTCATCCGCCCTCCGTTAAATACTCACCTGCAGTTCCAGGAATGAGTGGAGAGTGACCCTATACACGATCACATTGGCTTTGACACAGCGCCGTACGAGCTCTTGTAGTATTTAATGGCGAACCAGGTGACCAGCCCAAAACTCTTCTCGCTCTGAGACGCTGCCGCTGATTGTCCGCGACTGCTTATTCATCTCGCCCGCAAAGCAGACAAGACTTATTCATAGTTACCTCCACAAGGAATGCATTCCCTGCTCCGCAACACGGGGGACGCGCCTTCTACCGTACAGCTCTGTCACGGGGCGGTGATGGAATAAGTCGGATTACAGCTTATCGGAAAACCGAGAGATCTCTCTATCGCATAAGGTCAAATTTATTGCTGGACGCTAATGATAGTGCAAAATTTGGCACTTGGGTAGTGGTGAAAAATTGCCCAAGTTGGTACATCCCGGTAAAAAGTTACTGTGCTGAAATTGTTTTGTCTGTTCTGCTTTCAGTAAATAGCGCTTGTCTAACCAAGAGGAAAAAATATAATTTAAGTGACGTGCAGCGAAATGTTACACAGCGAATCCGAAATAAAGTCAGACCTCAGACTGGTGCGACCATTAGACAAAAGCCACCTCTAACAAGCTTAGGTATTATGTTCTGAAGGTGCTGCTGTACTCAGGCATTTTCTAGGGGTGCAAAATAAACAGGCAGCTGAAAAAAAGTTTGTGCGGGGGATACGCAAACTCATGAGAACCTAAGACTGGTTCAGCCTTTCCCTATTTCGCGAAATAAATTTCAAGAGGTACTTTCACTAGGTTTCAAGTACTAATGGTATCGGTGGCCGTCGACAATTGATTGCATCTGATTTCGTATTAAAGCATCATTAAAAACCGTCATTCTGAACTATAAAAATCAAAAATTGGTAAAAAGCATAATAACTCCAAGTCGCGCTTTCCAAATTCCTCAGCAACACCACGATGGCTCTTCTAACAATCTAATTTCCAGAGTTTGCAAATTTAGCCAGCCATAGATTTGTCCCTTTGGCAGTTTGATTGCTCCTGCTGGACATACAGGCAGTTCTGGGAAACCCCTGCCGTTTCATTAAAATGGTAAGATTTTCCAAACTGTTGAAATAATAAAGATAAACAATAAGCTAATCCGAAAATGAGTTTTACTTCTAATTGTTACTACCTGCTAAACATGGTTCCCCAAGTAAACAAATCGGAGCGTGCAAGTAATGCTTGTAGTTAGTTTTGCAAAAATAAGAAATAAACCCTTGAACCCAAGGTACGCTGAGTGCTTTTGAACGAGTGCAGATTGAAAATAGGTGAACCTATTCTTGTGAAACTGCATTTCGTCTTCACCATGACAGTGATATTTATAGTGGAACAAAATATCTAGCTAGGCACCGTCCACATTTATCACTTTAATCACATTTTCTTTCTGCTTTACTAGTTCGGATTTCAGTCTTCCCAATTAGCACGCTATTGAAGTGACTGGAGCTTTGATCAACAGACATAAAGATGCCCCGTGTTTTGTATGCTTTAAAAGCTCCAGCCAATTCGACGCACCAGTCCCGACACTGACAGGCATTTCTCTACACAGCGTAACTATGATCGAACTATTTATATCGTCCCAAAAAACCAATGGGAAAATTCAGTTAATTTCATTAGACTCTTCATGGGTAAACGCGATCAGACAACCGCCCAGTGCAGATAAGTGTTGGATGAGAGCCTGACTGCCAGAGCTGGGACTGACTAATCTTCTCCGATTTGGTGAACCACTTCATACTCCTCTTTCCGCACTGTAATGCAGTGTTGATTGATGTCAAGGAGGCGTGATCACTGACTAATATGTACTGCCAAACATTATTCTTTGCGAATTCCATTTGGAAGTTACGTGGGTTTTCATGTATGCGATCAAAAGACAGACGGAAAATCTCACAGTGAACTAGCCACTGCTTTTACTCTCATGTGATGTGAGGAAACTGCTCACCTATAGCATTTTCAACACAAATAACGTCGTGTACTCAACGTCCAAATATAGGAATGGGGTTGCGTCAACTGTTAGTGAAGTTGATTTTGGCAAAACGAAACAATTAGTGAACACTGAGAAAAATTTTTAGTATCAAAATTTCTTCCATGCAAACGGCCTGTAACTTGTTTACATAGCAGATGACAGGCAGCAAGGCAACTGTAAACAATTCACTTGTTTATTTACAAACAATGACCTAGCATCCTTCCGTAGTGCACAGTAGGAGATCTTGGATGTTTTGTCTCTCTTTGTGGCTGACAGATAGGCAGAGATTTGGAAGCTTTCTAACACCCATAGTTAACACTATTAGGCCACGTTCACTTGCTCAGGAGAGGTTTCATCCCAGGCTGATGTATGAAAATTACCGCTCAGACATACAGAGGGGAATCCAGCTCAACTTTGACTGGGGTATGGCTGACAACCGCAACTGGTAACCAAACCTAGGGGTTGCCCCACGTTAGTACTAGAACCTCACGGTTATCGCATATCTCGCGATGCTCAGAAGCATAGTGGTTGCACGGTCTACTATATCCATCATATTCATGGGTTGAGACTACTTTCAGCCACCCAACTGTAAGCTGCTTATAGGGTTTGTGACCATAGTGAAGTAAAGTTAAGATAGCCAGTAAATTCAAGAATCTTTCTACAGCCATCTTCGCTGCATGTATGCACTTGATTAGCAATCCGCATCCTCATCCCTGTAGTGACAATAATAGCTTTCGGTCACATATCCCAGTAGCCTATACAGAATAAATGGTGTGCTTAGACAGCTGCAACTCATGTGCTCACTACAATATTACGATTAGACAGCACGCAACTGTTTCTCAACTTCCTTAATACCATACGATGGATATCTCAAGATTCCAGCCTCCCATTATGGTCATTGGGCTAGCTACTTTGCAGAAAAGGTTAATCATTAAAGCTTTACCTCTGTGACCCATGAATCTTGCAGTTATCGTAAAGCTGAGATGGGAAGGACTACTCTTCTGTACACATAAGTCCAGCAGATATAACCCCATTTAATACACGTTATCTCCTAGGTGCGAGCTCATTAGAAATTAGTAAATACAGAATGTGGATTTATGACAATTTATCGAAACCCTTTCAATATCGCCAGAAGTCTTCTCCACGATATTCTTGAAATTGCGCTCATTAGCTACCGTTTAGAAGGAGTAAAGCTGCCGACAGATGGTCGGTATATTTTTTGATTATGCAGAATATATTTCCCTGATCTGCGACAGCTGAAGAACATGCTATGCGGCACTATTTAAAGTAGCTCTGAATACGAGCCTTTCGGGACTTTGTTTACATCTTCAAAATGTAAACCTTTCCTTTGAGCTTGAAAGGAACAGCCCCCTGCTCTGACCCGTAGCAAAGATCAATTAGAAGTCAACCAGAAAACCATCAACCTGCGCAGCTGTGTCGTAGCCTGTGGAACAGTAGCAGAAGTGACGAACCATATAGCAAAATTTCGAGATGCTTTTGCCAGTCACCGCCGTCTTTGGAGCTGGTGAGACATCAGTGTCATTCTGAATGGTTGTGGTTTAATTCTAGCAGACCGTCCAACCCTACTACATGGTTACGATACCTTGTCCTCAAAACGGCAGACGTAAAGTAGCTAGTTAGTCCCAATCAACGGTGTTTTCGCAGTATGTCTCGAATCTGGTGGGAACACCTTGTGAGTAATGAGTGCGTTCGGCGTCTTGTTTATGGCGAGTAAATCGCTCGGTATCATTGTTCCATGCATCAGGATCTGGTGGCCTATTCATGCGTTATGCAGGAAACACATCGAGTCCCGCGATGTGCATCGCTTACGTAATTTGGATCTGGATGGAAGAAGTGGAATGGCGCCAACCGATGACTTGGTCAAGAGGAATGAAGGTCCTTAATTAGAAGTTGGCTACGGTTGGAGAATTTGAACTTATAGGCTGGGGTCCAAAGAACGACCAACACGTTTGTTTGGATACATTTGTTGATGTAGCCAGCAGCCGACTTCAGTGGCGATTGTGTTGGAAAATCCTATTTTTCATCCCATCCCGGTTGGCTTTCGCTCCGGCTACGATCTCCTGGCCTATGCATTATAATAAAGGGAACAATAATATTACCAATTTCAATCTCAGATTTTTGCTTTTAACACCTTGTGAAAGTCACTTTAGCTTTAACATTTTTGGCCTTGTCCGTTGATGCATTCTGTTTCCGTCTGTTATAGAAGTGGATCGACCTAGACAAAAAGGTGACGAACGCGTACAATGAGGCAAAAGAGAACGTGAAATTTTTGTCCACAGTGGAAAAACTATGTGCTCCGCTCAATCAAACGGATCTGGTGGGTTTATTTTTTGTCCAGACTCTACGTAGTTCTGTGTGTGGATGTAGATGTCTGGTTGCATTCGAGCTATCGTTCCTGTCTATCGTGAACTCGTTATCGAATGGGCTAACCAGCCTGCTCAGTCTGACTTTACGCGGATTAAATAATTTATTCCGTGGAAACAACAGCGTATGCACTGAGGCGGTATCTTGCTTACTAACTGTTTGAAGTTGCACTTGTGTAAATGTCTCTACACCTTACGGTTCCGCGGATCATGATCACAAGATTGCATAACAGCAGCTTCTGAGAGTGGCGTAAGCTAACTTAACGGTTTCTAGACTAAATCAGGAACGAAATGAACCAACATACTTTACTCGTGATACCTATCAACTTTTACAATGTAAGGAAAGACGCACCGGTTGTCTGACGAAAACACCGTCGTTGTTGAAAGCGGTTGTACAATTCCGCTGCTGTCTGAAACGAGAAACTTCCATTATAACCCGCGAGTGTTTTCAGTTATGCCTAAAAGGCCATGATATACCACCGCAGTATTCCTGATAACATGGGCTGTAGGGTCTGAGTTGTTAAAAGGTTAGATCTTTGCCAAGAACGCTTCAGTTTAACCCTGAAGCAGGTATGTGATTGCACTTAGGTGTTGGGTAGTAGGGGGAATAATAATTCACCATCAGATAACTTTGGCGAAGGATTAGCCTTCCAGCTTTCCCTTCCCATAGCAATTGCCAGATGCTTATCATAACGCATACTGTCAAATATGATAAGAGCACATTCACGTCTATGGAAATTTTTAAACAGAGAAAGAACGATTGAGATATTTACCTTATACGATGACATTTGGAGGCTCGTTCCGTCAATAACGGGTGAACATTTATCTGATTGTCGTGGGGCACGCATTGCCGATCAAATAAGACATGCAATGTCTACTAATAACTCGCTTTCATGGTCATCAAGAATCACCAATGAAAAATGCTTTACAACCGGCAAAACTGGTGCCTGACAAGCTGGGTAGAATGACCGGAATGGGGATTCTAAAGCGATTGTATAAAAAGACAGGAACAGGGGAAAATTCTGGTGATTCACAGGAACACATACTGGTTTGCTCACCGCTAAGTAACGGAGAGAGCTGGTGCGCACCTTGTTTGCGTCAATTCGTCTTTCGATGCAAATAGACTATGTCGTGTAACGTAAATGGGATAAATAGTGGCGCAATCGATTTTTCAAGCGGGAAGGTGACGTGAAAAGGACGCAAAAAACAAGTGGGTTCCACATTCTGGATACCCGAAGGGTGAAAACGTTTTGTCGGCGCACATGTCGACTGTGGTAGGTGGTTAGTTTGAGCTGGCGAGCCCTCAGGTTGATATCGTAGCGGATTTGTAACCGATCTCAAAAGGCGTGATTGGGGTTAGTCAGTAGTTGGTACATCATGGTAAGATTTCTTCGCAGGCGTTGCTATTCGCCGCTGTACACACCTAGCTTGAGCAGTCTGTATTGGGAGGAGAGGTGAAACAGTCATGTAAAGATTTTCGTCACCCTACGTTTTCCAGCTTCAAGCGCAGCAGCATCATGTTTGCGCCAATGTCGTAAGGCCTGGATCGCGTACTCCAAGTGGGGCCTCACGTAGGCGTTTAAAATTTATGGAAAGAATGGTGGCCCGAACTTGTGAACACCCTTCGTAGTAGACCAAGTTGCTGCCTGGCTCTCTTTAATGCCTTCAAGGCCTGTTTGGACCAGCCAATGTGGTCCTGCTCGATTACTCCTAAGTAGCTTTCCTGTGTAGCATGATGCAGCAACTCTCCCAGTCGATATCGTAAGCACACTGATGGTATATACTCAAAACTTTGCAGTTCACCAGGTTTAACTGGATCCGGTTTTCGGAGGAGCATGTGTACGCCTTTCGTTATCTCTTTATAGCGATGCGGGGTCGCTCACTATCTTGATCCCATGCCACATATTGACGTCGTCTGCAAATAGTAACGTATCTGACTGGAGCACCCTGACAAGATAGTTGATGAATACTAGAAATAGACGTGGTCAAAATACCGATCTTTAGGGCACATCACACAGGACTTCTGTCGGGTAGGAGATATATTGGTGGACTCTCACATTCAGCAGACGTTGAACGAGGAAGTTTTTTATCCAACCCAGCTTATGGTCACTGATTCCATAGCTTCGAAGTTTGTGAAGAAGAATTCGGTGGTCTAGACGATCGCGCGCTTTCGAGAATTTCAGATATATGATGTCGACGTTTTTGTCTGGAGTCGGCTGACTTCGTCCAGTTTAGCCGGGCTAGTAACACGTTTGTGGTATAGGACCGATTTCGGTGGAATCCATGCTGATGTGACACCATGATGTTGTTCTGGAAGTATCCCATGAGCGACTGTGCGATTATTCCTTCCATAACTAGATAACCCTGGGAGCTAGGTGACTGGACAGTAGTTGGATGGTTCTGCACGATTCATACTCTTGAAAATAGGAGTGACTATTCCGTTTCCACATGGTGGGAACCCGCATTTCCCCAAGTCTTCCTTGGAAGTGCAGAACCAACGGTTCGGCAAAGTTCATGGCGAATGTTTTTTCTATACCTTCGCTTTGATATGGTCCACACCCGGAGAGCTGTGTATACGAAGGGATAGTAGCTTTCTCATCACATTTGCAGCAGTGTGTGATACTTGGCTTAAGCCCGGAGGAGGAGTGAGCTGTGTCAAGAACAGGTGAGACAAAAATCACTTTGGAAAACACGCGCAAACTGTTGCCGAAGCACGTTCGCCGCACCTTGTGTGGTGAGCCCCAGCCTATCTGTTACAAGTAGAACTTGAATCGCGCGCTGCACTTTTTGGAGCTTGTTTACGTGCCTGTATAATATCTTATATTCGGAGAGAATTTCGTCGTTAAGTCCTGTTGGTGTTTAAGTTTATCGTCGCGATCTAGGTTGACACAATGATTTCACTGAGTTATATAGACGTCCAAGTTCTTCACATCTGGATAGGGGTTATGAGCGAGCCAGGCCGATTCCTTTAAGGCCATGCATTTTCGTGTCCGGCCCCTCAGGAAGAACTACATTTGCTTCAAGTGATGATTTTTGCTTTCAGACGCCGTTGCAGCTAGCCGCTGAACTGGGTGACAAATTCCTTTCAGGCGACAATGGAAGGCTACTCAGCTAGGAAACACCAGATAGTTTCTTGAACGAGGTCACAGAGTTCACCTTATGAGTGACGACGTGAACTTCCTCCCCGTTTTCGCAGCTGTATTCCGCGTAGCAGATGTAGAGGAAGAGAAGCGGTTCGTGATCGCTACTGTTAAGCGTTGCACTTATGTTTATTGCATCAGTCATTAGTTACTCGTTGGTGAACACAAGATCTAAGACAGTGTGTTCGTCGTCAGTTCTGAATTCCGGGGGAGCGGTGACATGGTTGCAAAGCGATATAACAGCGATTACTTCATACGAGTCCGCCTTGAATTGTTCCCAGGTCGAAACTGTGATTTCGAATGCGTGCAGGTTGAAGTGCCGCACCAAAAGTATGTGACCGTGTGACCGGGCTAAAATTCGCTTTTTATAGCAGACGCCAGGCGGTGGTCCATTTCCAGCGTTGGCCTTGGAGTGGGGTATATACTTGCAAGTTAAAATATACAACCAAGTTTCAACTGCAGACGACACCAGGGCGAATGGGCAACTTGCGTATCTGGATCATCGGTGATATGGATATGCAGGCCAGATCGGTAGTACAGGAGCACTCCGCATCCACTACGGGGTCCATCGTTTAGTATGAGAGTCAGGCCGGTGAGGTCTATCTCGGTATCCATGTTGCAGTTATCATGAGTTCCCAAAGAGTGGATGCGTAACGACTACCAGGCTCTGGTAACTTGCTCTGAGGAACTTGAGCTTTGATATACAAGCAAGTGAGAGCCGCAGCTGTTAGCAGTGTAGATGTTGATGCATGTTCTGTGTAGGGGGTTACGTCGACCTTTGCGGGGTTTGCTGTCGATCGCGTTTTTTGTTTAAATGTAATCGCTGACTCCGGAACAGTTCCGGGTTTGTATGTAGAGTTCACGAATTTATTAAGTGTTTGCAAACCTAGCGATCCTTTAGCTGACGGAGTGCTTTGACTACATCCCGGTTCTGAACGGCATGCTGATGGAGCCGCACCCAAGCAATGCATATTCAGCGTTCTCACGTCGATTTATGGCCTGGTGTTCGTCGACGTTATATTTATTTCGGTTGGTAACTTCTTGCGCATTTACTGCCACGTTTACGTCACTTTTCCGCCTTAGGTTTGGTTTGCCGTGTTACTTGTATCACTCGTTCCCTCTGTATTTAGACAATGATAGCAACCTTGAGATAGAATTGGCGATCACATTTTCGAGTGCCAGTACCTTGCGAATGATGCACCATTCCTCCCAGTCATTTGCTTTGTCCTCTAGCTCGGTTGATGTCTGAAGCTCAGGAACCCCGAGCACAAGGAACAATTCTACGTCTTTTTATTTTCCTTTGTCTTCTGGGTTTAGTTAGCCTTTCTGGCGTTTACTCTATGGCAAATCTGAAAAAATTGGAACAGAGCGTGGAGTGGTACGGAGGCAAGTGTCTGAGAGGTGAACAGACTCTAGACCATTCGGTGACTGAAGTTTTACTTGGAGTGAGCGCGGTTCACCTTAGTGTTGGGAGTTTTTGTGACCAACGAGGCGCACCATACTGTCTGGCTTATCATGAACCCCTATTAGTTGACACAAGGTGTTTCACTGTTTCTTGCCGTCTAATAGCTTATCTTTTATAGGTTTCGCCCCGGGTTAAGATATATTTGAGTACATAAAACGCAACAACTTATATTGTCTAGGTGCTCCTTTTTGGAAGGACGTGAATCTGCTTTCTTTTGTTGGACAACGGATGGGGTCTTGAATCCCGTGGTAATATTAGTAGTGTCAACCAAGCCTAGTTTGACAGTAGGCGGGGCTACGATTAACAAGATGCCTCTGTCAAGTAGGCAGAAAAACAGACGCGAAGTTTA